ACTGATCCCTGACTCCATGCCTGAGTAAAACCTGTAACAAATTTCAGTTCTGATGAAAGACTACAGACTTGAAACATTAAGAGTATCTCACTTTCTACAGATGCTGCCTGACCAGCTGAACATTTCTAGTACAGTATGTATTGGCAAGACCCTCAGTAATGAATGCTCAAGTATCTGACCTGGAAGCAACAAACAACGGCTTTCAACCCACTGGCTCAATAATAGGTTCTGCAATCCATCTGAGATAGTAGGAACTGCAGATGCTGGAGAATCTGAGATAACAGGGTGTAGAGCTGGATGAACACAGCAGGCCAAGCAGCATCAGAGGAGCAGGAAGGCTGACGTTTCGGGCCTAGACCCTTCTTCAGAAATTTCCGTTTAGTTACTCAGCCGAAGCAGGGAAGGTGGAGACAAAAGTGAATGCAGGGCCAGCAAGAACATTTAAACTTAGGTAAGCAGACACTCTGGAAGATAGGGTCCAAGAATGGCAATATTGCCTTCAGTTGTTGGTGGACCCTGTCCCTCCAACCTTAGCTGTTTCATGGTACATAACACTTCTGTTACAAGTAACTTACTGTAATGTGCTGGAGTTTCTGCACATGCTCCATATCGGCCTATTATTCACCTAAAAATCTGATCTAGCCGCATCTGGGCCACTATTCAGTATGCAGAGTTAATTACTGACCTTCGATATATCTGTGGCCCATATACTTCCGATCTTTTGCCAAAGCCTTTTTGAAGTCTTCAGCATTACGCAGATGTACATATGCTTCACCACTTGGACGGCCCTCTTTGGAGGTGGTAAACTGCACTCCATTCACTCCGTTTCGAATATCACATTCTACAACAAAACAGCACAAAGAATTTAACAGTAAAAACATGCAGTGCCTTTAGTAGCAACTGAAATCAGTCTCAATCACTTGAAATGATTACCCGAGAAAAACCGCGCCACTTCTTCTGGTGTACACGACCACGGCAGGCCACGGACTCTGACAACATAATCCTCCTCTTTTGCAGGAATCTCAGGCTCTTTCTCTGTAATCACAAACACTGAATAGGACATACCCAAAGGCTGTGATCGAACAATATAATTTATCATAAATTAAATCAATAACTACCTTCAACTGCTGGCTCCAAGTTGGTAAAGATTTCTGTGAAACAAAAATAGTTGATTAAGTTTCACATCTCAGCAATATTAGTGAACAAATTATTTGCGTTCCAGATCCTTGAAATTTTTGTATTGGGCACTGAATACTTATATCAGATAATCAACAGATTGTGTTGGCAGAATACACTTTCAGTGACTTCATACATTAAAGTTGCAACAGGAGTGGTTTTATTTTCTGCACATCAAGCAGACCCAGAGCACTCCAGCTAGTGCAATATTCGAGAGAAGAGGTCCTTTTCAGATATGCTCATGTCGATGGAGACTTTCAATTCTCTGAAGGCCTCAAATTGCACAGCATGCCGTTGACCACATATATATTCCAACGCAGTTGCAAAACAGCGTTAGCTACCAGAGGTACAGAGGGAGCAGTCACACTATCGTAGGGTCAGTGCTAGTGCAGATCAGAGTTCCCGCTTAAATCATTTCTCCTTCTATGCGGTTCTCCGAAATCGGTGCGCGCTCGGACCGGTTCAGGTCGCCGATACTTATTTCTCAAACTGCAAGTTAGTCAGTGATCCCAGGCTAGAGGTGGCTCGGAGTAGGGCAACTGCTGAGCACGAGGGACATGGGGAAACTAAGGCTGAGGACAGGCATCACGCACACAGGCCTCAACGTGGCGGAGGGCCCACCACCGACATATCCTCTTCACCCCCCCGCCCACC